GGCACCTGCAAGGAAGCACCCAGTGCTACTGATCCCAGAGCCAAGTCTGCACATACTGCCAGCAAAGGTGAAGTTTCAGGAGGGTGTGGCAGAAGGAGGGGGCAGCATCTATGTGTACCAGGACACGGCTTCCTTTTCTTCCCATCCCCTGGACTATGAAGGAGCAAGCGGAAAGTACTTGCATTCCGTCTGTAAGCAGGGTCAGAATCAGTGCTTCCATTTCAGGAAAGGAATCCTGGGAGTGGTTATGTTCTCTCAGTTTGCTTAGGCCTGCTAGATATTCAGTTGTTAGAATGGCGTTTTGCCCATTGTAACCAATTTGGCTGTTGTGGGGTACAAACTGTGTAAACCCTAAATGTGCGAATTATCTGATATGACCATCAATGCTTGCACTTATTGGGGGAATGCAGAAAAGTCAGACTGTGCTTAACTCAGCTCAAACAAAAGAAACGCTCCATGTAAAGAACGCCAGATGAACAAGGCTTCTGCAAAAACTCTGAAGTTTACTAGGAGAAGGGAGAAGCCTGCATGTGCTCCAGGAGTGCGCTGCAAGACTGGTTCAAGCCGTTTCTCTCTCCACCCCGGTTCTAATGATGGAATTAGAGCAGACTCCATAAGAAGCCTTATTATTATTTTTAAATTTCCTTCAGTGGATGGCAGCAGTGAGCAGGCAGATGGCAAGTGACCAGTGGAGGGCGTGAGTAAGATGCCTCTTTACCGCCCGCACATTCAGGAGAACTCTGCGGCTACACCTCTGAATTCTGGGTCTGTCCTGACCAAGGTCAGCAACTGTGAGAGAGGTGCAGAGAAGGGATGGGCATGTGACAGGAACATTTAGATTGCTGGATTTAAGAACCTGAGTGGAAAAGGATGTTGCCCAACCTACTTGTGGTGGGACTGGTACTCCTGTTTTTTTGCTATGAACTTAGTTTGTGGTGTTTTCCCAAATGAATGCCACCTAACTTCCCTCCACTTTTATTCAAGGTTTCTTTTCTGTACCCTGACTCTGTGCTTGCAAGTGGGGAAGCATTGCCTCCCAGAGGCACACAAGCGTGTTGAGTGAATTTCCCAGGTTCCTGGATGGGGCTTGAACCAGATCTGTGTTGGATGGATTGGAAGCAGGGGTGGGCAATAATTTTCACGGGGGGGGGGCACTTAATTAATTTTGCTATATGGTCATGCTACAGGCCCAACCCCGGAAGGGGCAGGGCATGGGGTGGAAGAAGTTGTGCTGAAAACTAGCCTACCCCCAGAGTTGTCTGGGGCTGGAGGTTTTGAAATACAAAACATATTAAAGGGCTTGCAACTCTTGACTCTGCTGTGTTGCCTGGCAGCTGCCTGGGTTGCTGCAGCTATTCCAAAGGATCACAGCTCTGGTCCCTGCCAGACAGCACTGCAACCATGAGCCATTTAAATAGGATCCTGCTGCCTGAGCCACCACCTGAAAATTGACTAGCATTGGTAGCAGGATATAAAAAGAAAGCAGCCAGATGCAGTTTGTGGGCCAGATCTGGCCTCCATGCAATACTTTGCCCAGCCCTCATGGAGAGGAATGCCTAGATTAAGGCTACTCAACTTTGGAAGCCCCTGGGGCCACAATGGTACACACAGCATATGCTGAGGGCCACAGCTTAAGTGTGGTTGCTTATAAATGCAAATATATGCAAATAGCTTCTTTCACACTCACGGGCACGAATACGATTAAGGCAAGACTACACAAAATGCAGGCCCCATTTAAGTCAGTTCTGCTGATATTAATAAAATGCAATATATTCCACCTATATAACATCACTTTTAACGAGCACTTTTAAACTGAAAATTGTATACCAGTGTTTTGGGTGTTTAAATTCAAGCTTCAGGTTCTGCATTTATTGAAGTGACTTCACTCAGAAAAAGTTTCCAAGCTACAGAGGGGCAAGTACTGTCTGATCAAGCAAACAAGCCTGTCCCCTTGCATCTTTCAATGCTCACCCCTCCTGGGAGAGGTCTTGCCATTGTGGAACATGTTCCCAACAGAGGCCATGTTCAAAGGATCCCTTCTATGGGCCACATGTTTAACCATATGTGAACTTAAACCACACACTGGGCTGTAGACTAACAGCCCATGGAAGGAGTGTTAAATAGCCCTGGCCTAGATATTGAACTTGGCCCTAACTGCTGAGGGTGGTACCTGTCAGAATGGTTACAAATCTTACACCTAAGGGAGCACCTGGATTTGAACCAGGGGCCTCTTGATCTGCAGTCAAATGCTCTACCACTGAGCTATACTCCCTGGGACAGACAGAGTAGCTAATTTTGAAGTTTATAAAGGGCACACCCTTCCCCAAACAGGTGCTCAGGTAGAAATGCATATAATACTATGGCTTACGCAATCCCCACACCTGTTCACTCTCACCACAACACACAACAGCTTTTCTGTGAACCTGCTCCCCTGCTCTCTCCAGCATTGCTTCGAACCTCAAAGGGACAGAGTCCCTGTACACAGAACTCCTTCATCTCCACAGCATTCATCCATTAATTCCCCCAATAAATTGCATTCTGACCAGAAACACAGAGAGCGCCTTGGACTCTCAGCCCCGCCCTGCAGAGGAATGGGGCACCACCAAGTCTGGCCCCAATGCTGCTGCCCCTCTGAAATATTTTGTAGGTTTGTGGGGAGCAGGGATCAGCATTCATGCCACTCTGTGGATTGCAGCCCATCCCACTGCTGGGCTGACTGTCCCATGGTGCATTGCTATGAAACCCAGCCTTCCATCTTTGCTTTGTGGCATTTGTCATTGTCCCGGCTGCAGGGTCCGGGGGGGCAGGAGCAGAGCAGAGCAGGGTAGGGAAACAGCAGGTGTCAGGCCTGTCCCTGCACTCACAGGTGGCAGCACACAGCAGAGCAGAGGAAACTTGAGAAAAACAGTTTAATAGCTCACTGGAGGCAGGGGAAGCAGAGCGCCATGGCTGGGAGATGGCAGAGTGGAATGAACTGGGCTGGGTTGGGACTGGGTTGCTTTGCTTTCTGTTTCCACCAGGGAGTAAGGGGGAGGGGCCGATCTCTGCTGCTGGAATTTAGTCCCCCCGGGGCCCAGTGCGGATTAAAACATGCCAAGTCCCTAAGCTACGTCAAGGTTAAGGGGCCTCAGAGCATTACCAGAAAACAGAAATGTAGTGATTTGTTTGTGTTTAGAGGCAGGGCTTTAACACCGCAGAGTGGCTGCGGCAGGAGTGTGCAGAGCGTGCTCTAGGACAGTGTTGCTCAACTTTTTTTTATAAAGTACCCCTTTTTCCAAAAAAAAAAAATTGTAATTACTCCCAGTACCTACAGTTTTCAGAGATACACAGTTTTTTTCTACCATGCCAACACATTTGTTTAAACAACGTAATCATAGCTGGGCGGGCAATGAAATTTGTGGGTGTAAAAAGTACAAAAATAATGAAGTGCTGTAAAACTTAAAAGAAAAATTCAGTTTTCCCCAAATTTCAGATATGTTGACGTACCCACAGACTTCTCTCGTGTACCCCTAAGGCAGTGGTCTCTAACCTTTTTAACCACAAGATCCCTTTTTCAATGTAAGTGCAATGTAAGATCTATCTCAAACCCAAATACCCTTGCCCCATCTCCTTCCCGCCCCTTCTTTGTGGCCCTGCTTCTGCTCCACCCCTTCTTTGAGATCTCTCCCTGCTCACTCCATCCCCCTTCCTCCTCCGTCCTCACTCACTTTCACCAAGCTGGGGTAGGGGGTTGTGGTGCAGGCTCTGGTCTTGAGCCAAGGGGTTTGAGTGTGGGAGGAGCTCTGGGGTTAGTACAAGGAGTGCGGGGGGGGGCAGATTGGGGTCCAGGAGGGGTTGCAAAGTGTGGCAAGGAGTTTGGGTGCAGGGGGAGTCACGTCTGGGACAGGAGGCTGCATTCAGGAGGAGGTTCAGGTTGGAATAGGGGTTCAGGAAACAGTCTCTGTCCGGGCACCGTTGAATTGACTTCCGGGCGGTGGAGCAGTGGAGTTACGGCAGCTTACACCTACCCTGGCCCTGCACCACTCCTGGAAGCAACTGGCATGTCCAGCAATTGCTCCATGGCACCGTGTGCTGCCCCTCATCTACAGGCACGGAGCCACAGCTTCTACTGGCCATAGTTTCTATCGATTGATGGAAGCTGCAGGAGTGATGTCTGCAGGCAAAGATAGCATGTGGAGACCCCCTGCTCTGCCTTTCTCAGGGGCTGCAGGGACATGCCACCCACTTCCAGGAGCAGCAATTACCAGAGGATTAATGGCTCCAGCTATGACAGATTAGGCGTTTTGGAACTCACCACTCAAAGACTTAAATTTAAGTGTAAGAGAGAAATGTCCTAAACCCCAAAATCACACACTTTGCACGCAGTGGAAGACGTACTAACATCCTCCCACTTATGTGTTGGGTCGGGAGCTGAGAGGGAAGGACAGTGTCTGTTTGAGAGAATGACAGACACAGAGTGTGTGAGATGAGGGAGATTTGCATTTCCAGGCCACCTCCATTCTCTTCTGTGTGGAGATAGGGTACAGAAGTGGGGGCAGGAAGGACGCCCTGACATTAGCACTGCCCCCTTTCTGCCTCCCATATCCTGCACAGCAAGCAGGAAGCTCCCAAGGGGCAGCTCCAAGGCAGATGGCTGGACAGTGCGGGGAGGGGCAATTAAAGTGTCAGCACCTGTCAGAGGCTCCAAGATCTAGCGGTAGATACCGAACTATTGGTTGGTGACCACTGCCCTAAGAATACTCGTACCACAAGTTGAGAAACACTGCTCTAGGATAAACCACCCCCCTGAGGAGAATTGCTAACAGCGCTGGGAGCACGTTTACAATGCTGCTTTACAGCTCTGTCACTTGTGGAGCTGAGGGGAGGGGCGGGTTTCACACCCCTAAATGAGAAAGTGACAACAGAGCTGAATTGCCTATGGAGACAAGCCCAAACCTGGCTCCAGTTGGCAAGTAGGATTATCCAGCACTAAAATTGCAGCCACAAAACTCAGAAGCTTTCGTAGTCGGCAGGATTCAAACTTACACAGGGAAAACCCCAATGGATTTCTAGTCCATTGCCTTAACCACTCAGCCACAACTACTTCAGACAGGTCTGTTTTTTATGACACTTTGTTTCTGTTCTCATGGCTCTATGCTTTCCCGTTCTGTGCTCAGACTGGCATGCACAACTCACCCCCAGTGATAGGCGGAATAGATGCCCCTCAACCCCCCAGGGATAGGGGGGATAACCAACAAGCAGTGTGCCCTGGTGGAAGGCGGGAAAAAGTGCGCTCACTGCTCTGCCCTTGGGAAAAATGTCCATAGCTACAGGACAAAGAGTCTTTCCCTTTCCCTTCAGACTGGCTGAGAGTGTCTTTGCGGGTAATGGCATCGCCGTACATTGTCCATACCCTGCCTTGACAGTGCCTTTCCTAGTTACATCTCCAGCACATCAGGAATTGCAACAGCAAGGGGAAGGTTTTCTCTGGGGCTATCAGCTTTGCAGGGTTTAAAGGCGAAATATGCACTGAATGTTGAGGTTTATCTGTTGGTGGGAATGGAAGGATGGACATAAGAGTTTTAAGCACAAAGTGAAATTACCAATTAAAAAAAAGAAAAGTGCATGTAAAGACATTGGCTGCCAAAAAAGAATGATTGACAGGTCGTATGCCCTGTCTACACTATAAGGATTTCTCTATATGTTACACCGACAATCAAAAAGCCCTGCTCTAATTACTTTGCTTATGCACGGACACAGCACACTCCTCCTGTCTCCAGAGCGTCCGCTGTTGGTGCTCTCACATCAACAGAGACAGCAGGGACTGTGTGCAGCTATCCCACTGTGCTACTCAGTGCCGTCCTGCCCATAGTACGGTTTGGGGTGAGCACCCTAAGCCCCGCACAGTGTGGGGTCCTGTGGTGGCTGCTTCAACCATCCTAAGGACGAATCCCAGGGCAACCTGGGAGATTACCTGAGGGAAGGTCCTGGTGTGGGGCAACAGCAGAGGTCAGCCCCATCACTCACTGCGGCGGTGGGGCAGGGCCCACCCAGCAGCCTTCTCCGTTCCACCCTGCCCCCGTGCTCTCCAAGCCCATTGCGCTCAGCTTCACTACAGCAGCAGGAAGCAAAGTGCACTGGCCTCAGGGCATTCTGCTTCCTGCCACCAGAGAGAAGCAGGGTGCAGCAGGCTGGGACAAGGTGGCAGGGCAGAGTAGGCTATCAGGCCACTCTGGGTACCACAGTCGTGCTGAGTGCCAGAGGGGGTGTCAATCACTGCTGCTGCCCCGCCTCACATCCCCCATAAGTCCCAGGATTGTGTTACTCAGGGGAGGGAGTGAGGCTATCAGGCCACTCTGGGTACCACAGTCGTGCTGAGTGCCAGAGGGGGTGTCAATCACTGCTGCTGCCCCGCCTCACGTCCCCCATAAGTCCCAGGATTGTATTACTCAGGGGAGGGGATACTACAGCAGCAGGAAGCAAAGTGCACTGGCCTCAGGGCATTCTGCTTCCTGCCACCAGAGAGAAGCAGGGTGCAGCAGGCTGGGACAAGGTGGCAGGGCAGAGTAGGCTATCAGGCCACTCTGGGTACCACAGTCGTGCTGAGTGCCAGAGGGGGTGTCAATCACTGCTGCTGCCCCGCCTCACATCCCCCATAAGTCCCAGGATTGTGTTACTCAGGGGAGGGAGTGGAGAAAGGATGGGAAGGAACATGTATGGGGTGGGGACTGGGTCTGCTGCGAGGGTGAGGGGGGTTTCTGTGGGCCCCGAGCCTCACTTGGGACAGCCCTAGTGCTACTCGCCACCTTCTGCAACAACGAGTTGTGGGAACATTTGTTTTGGGTCTGCAAGGAACAAGATTTCAGCAACGGTGACTGGGACACAGGGTGCAGGGAAGACGTGTGTGGTGGGCAGGGAGAGCACACTGAGCAGAAGAAAAGTGAAAATAACATTTGAAAAGTGTGTAAAAGAAAGTGACGCACGACTATGATACTCAAAGGGGAGTTGTTCTTTATATCAGCATAGTTGGGCCAGGGATTCCATATTATGGTCAGGGATAACCGGCTTGACAGCACCATGGCTGAAAAGGTTCTTGGACTTCTGGTGGATCACAACCTCAACAAGCCCTCAACAAGGTGATGTTGCAAAAAAAACCAATGCAGTTTAGGTTGCATTTACAGAGGCATAGCATGCAAGTCACGGGAGGTGCTAGTACCACTTCACTCAGCTCTGATTAGGCCTTATCAGGAGTACTGTGGTCAGCACTGTAAGAGAAACTGGAAAAAATCTGGAGATGATTGAAAATGATGCTCAGAGGGATGGAATGCAACCTTATGAGCAAAGGCGGAAAGATCTGGGCATATTTGGTATGCAACAAAAGGGATTAAGGGGAAGAGGGGCACGTAATTGCACATTTCAAATACTTGAAAGGCTGCCACAAAAGAGATGGAGAAGTGCTGTTCTCTCCTGCCACAGAGGGCAGGACCACAGACAACAGATTCAAACTGCAGCAGAGTTTGGTGGTGCCAGAAAATGGGATGTGCCTGGAATGGGATTGCTTCTCAGAAAACCATACAGGAAAGAGACAAAATCACCAGGCACATGAAAGAGTCTGGCTGGAGATGCTCAGCCCTTCCATACGGTTCCAGACTCAAGCATCCCACCCCCCAGGGAGGACAGGGGATGAGGCTGAGGCGTTCCTTCCCCAGTTCATATGGGACTATTGCTCATTGTTCCCCTTTGTAAGGGAGTGAGTGAGGAGAAAGTGCACAGTTTTCTGCATTCCTTACTCTGGCTGGGGAGTGCAGGGGAAGAGGAATTAGATCTGCCTCAGCCGGGGAGCATGTACCCCTCCAGTGATTGTGCCCAATGGTGGTGCAGGAGCCATGGATAGGCACTTCTCACTTCTCACAAACTGCTTACGTCACAAACCCTCCTAGCACCAAACAGGTCTTCAGCCATGGGTTCAACAAGTGCAGAGTGACTGCAGAATCTGCCTTTGGCAGATTGAAGAGTGATTGGCATTACCTTTTCGGCAGGTTAGACATCAATGAGGAAAACACTCCTATAGTAATAGCAGTCTGCTGTGCTCTGCACAACGTTTGTAAAGTTATTGTGGGGGGGGGGGTGGAATTTCCTTAGCGGTAGCTCAGTCATATGGATCGTCAGGTAATTGATTTGAGCAGTCACCTCTCATGACTATCAGAGGGACTAAATTAATGTTTGTCAGTGTGGGGGGGGGGGAGAGGGGAGTGCTGCTCAAATCAGGGAAGCACTGAAGCAGTATTTTGATTTGAGTCCTACTCATATGTTTTTCTGCCATGTATTTGGCCAGGCATTGTTTACTTGCTGCCTCAAAGGACCCTAGTAATGATTGCACCTGGAGCACTGGTTGCACTTTTCACTTGTGCCGATTGCCACTCTTTATGAATTTCAGCAGTAACCAAGATGTGAAGGACAAAAACAAAAATCAATGTTATTCCGAAGATTCACATTTTATTAAACAGCTTTGCCACTGGCCAGCCTTGTCAGATGTCCCACTTCCTCCTCCAACTCCACTTCCTCATCCATCGCTTTGTCCTTGGGGTTGACACCGTTGGCCACTACCTCCAGCTCCAGCTTCTGGTAAGCCTGCCATGGCTGCTTGATCCTTCTTGTTTTCCCTTCCATAGCTCTTTCCGTCAATGCCATGAGCTGTCTGCCTGTTGGTATCTAAGTAGCTATGCGTGGATAGCAGCTGGAACTGCACGGTCTCCTCTCCTCACAGACTCAGCAACTCCAGTGTTCTCCAGGCAGGAGCACATTTGCTTTAGAAAGCTACCATGATCAGTTGGGAAGTTGCAATGAGAATTCTCCAAGCCAGGCAAATAGGAAGAAGAATTTCAAAGTTTCCTGGGGCTCTGAAAGGAAGGGCTGCATGTACCTGTAGGGAAGTGGAGTCCAAACTGCTGGCCAGAACGGTCATGAGATATCTCCTGGAGGATGCTTAGGCTCACTAGACTCAGTAAATCAGGGGTGGCCAACCCGTGGCTCCCGAGCCACATGCGGCTCTTCACCCCTGAAAGTGCAGCTCGCAAAGCCTCCCCTGTGGCTCACGTTGCCGCCCCATGCACCCCTACAATCGTGCCCCCTGCCACCAATGCTCACTAGGTGCAGGGGAGCCGTCCGGTATGGCAAAATGGTGCCGGCAAGATGGCAGCAGTAATGAGAGCATGATGCAGCTAAAGAGCCTATACCGCAGTTCTTAAAGGGGCAGTGTCCCTTTTTTTTTCTCAATGTTGGTGCGGCTCTTTTCATTTTTTCACAGCTTTTTCGGCTCTCTTCATTTAATGGTTTGGCCACCCCTATAGTCAATCGAACACCAATGTATTCATCGCTGCCCATTCAGCCAGCAGATTGTGAGGCCATTCCCTGTGATTTAGAACTTTAATTTTCCCATTCTGTGGATAAAGTGATTATATCAAAGTGAGTGAATTTAAACCAATTCCAGAGCAGGAAAAGAGACTACTCATTGCATTGGCTGGGAATCGAACCCAGGTCAACTGCTTGGAAGGCAGCTATGCTCACCACTATACCACCAATGCACTTAGGCTGCAAGTTTCTGATGAGCTATGAAAATGACTTGTTCACACAGCCATCATGCGCAGGCTGCATTGGCTGGAGGCAGCTTATTAACACAGGGCAGACAGGTTTCCTCAGTGACGGAAAGGTGGAACAAGGGCCACAGGCTAGAGCAGAGGTGTAACGAGCACAAGTTAGGAGGTTGATAGGGTGGAGGAGGAGGGTGAAGGTGAGAGTGTGGGGTCTGGTTGGGAGGTGGTGTGCAGGATTGGATTCAAGTTGGAGGTCTGAGCAGGATGAGGCAGTGCTTTGGAGTCCCTACCTAGCAGACAGTCCAGGGGCTGGGTTCAGATAGCTCCCTGCTGCCCTCACCTTTCAGAAGCTATTCCCATTGGCTGTGATTTTCAGCCAGTGGGAGCAATGGGGATGGCACCTGCAAGCAAGCACAGGGACAGAGCTACCCCGTGCTGCTGACCCCAGAGCCAATTCCCCACACACTGCTAGCAAAGGTGGAGTTTCGGGGGGGAGGGCAGCAGCTTGTGTGTATCAGGACACGGCTTCCTTTTCTTTCCATTCCCTGGACTATCAAGGAGCAAGGGGGAAGTACAGGCATTCTGTGTGTAAGCTGCATCTAAATCAATGCTTCCATTATAGCCACCTGGAATGGGAAAGGAATCTGGGGTGTGGGTATGTTCACACAGTTTGCTTAGACCTGCTAGATATCAACAGTTGTTATGTAAATACAGTTCATGCTAAAATCCTGGGTATGGTTATGTAAATACAGGTCTCTCAGTTTGCTTAGGCCTGCTAGATATTCAATTGTTAGAATGGTGTTTTGCCCATTGTAACCAATGTGGCTGTTGTGGGGTCACAAAGTGTTATCACCAAATGCAGGAATTGTGAGATATGACTGTCAATGCTTGCAATTATTGGGGGAATGCAGACAGGTCAGACTGTGCTTAACTCAGCTCAAAGGAGAGAAACTGTCAATAAAACGAACCTCAGATGGACAAGCCTTCCTCTGCAAAAACTCTGTGAAGTTTACTGGGAGAAAAGCAGGACTCTTAATCAGCAGGCTGCATGTCCTCCAGGAGTGAGCTGCAAGAATGGTTCAAGTGGTTTCTCTCCCCACCCCGCTTCTAATGATAGAATTAGAGCAGACTCCATAAGACGTCTTATGATTATTTTTAAATTTACTTCAGTGGATGACAGCAGCGAGCAGGCAGATGGCAAGTGACCAGCGGAGGGAGGGAGAAAGATGCCTCGTTATCTTCCCCACACTCAGGATGGGAGGTGAACTCTGTGGCTACATCTCTGAATTCAGGGTCTGCCCTGAGCATGGTCAGCAACTGTCAGAGAAGAGCAGGGAAGGGATGGGCATGTGACGGGGACATTGACTTTGCTGGACTTAAGAACCTGAGAGGAAAAGGACATTGCCCAACCTACTTGTGGTGGGACTGGTACTCCTGGCATTTTGCTATGAACTTTATTTGTGGTGTTTTCCCAAATGTATGTCACCTTACTTCCCTCCCCTTTTATTAAATGTTTCTTTTCTATACTCTGACTCTGTGCTTACAAGTGGGGAAGCATTGCCTCCCAGAGGCACCCAAGAGTGTTGCGTGAATTTCCCAGGTTCCTGGGTTGGACTTGAACCAGTTCTATGTTGGATGGATGGGAAGCAGGGGTGGGCAATAATTTTTTTTGGGGGGGGGGCACTTCATGAATTTTGCTAGTTGGTCATGTTGCCAGCTTCACCCCAGAAGGGGCAGGGCATGGAGTGGAAGGGGCAGGGCTGGGGACTAGCCTTCCCCCAGCTTGCAACTCCTGACTCTGCTGTGTTGCCTGGCAGCTGCCTGGGTTGCTACAGCTAATTAAAAGGTTCACAGCTCTGGTCCCTACCAGACAGCACTGCAACTGTGAGCCATCAGCCATTTAAAGATCCTACTGCCTGAGCCACCACCTGGAAATTCAGGGCCATGGGCAGCAGGATGTAAATAGAATGCAGCCAGATGCAGTTCTTGGGCCGGATCCAGCCCCCATGCCATAATTTGCCCAGCCCTGATGGAGAGGAATGCCTATGTAGCCCTTGTGCCAAGTAGGGCTGGCATCAACCAGGGCCGGGTTCAATATCTAGGGGTTGCTTTTCATCCGTCTCACACAGAACCGGCTCGAGCCCCCACCCAGTAGCCTGGGAAATTCACACCCCTGGGAGCCTCTGAGAGGCAATACTTCCCCACTCGCAAGCACAGAGTCTGAGCAAAGAAAAGACTTTTAATGAAAGAGAGAGAGAGAGAAGTCACATGGCATGAACTTGGGAAAATACCACAACCAGAGTTCATATCCAACCCATGAGTAACCATCCCAGCTGAAATGGATTGAGCAATGTCCTTTGCTTGTCACGCTCAGTAGTCCAACAATGTAAGGGTCCCTTTCACCTACCCAAACTTTCTCCGTACCCCACTTCAAACATCCCACTTTCAGCTCTGTCCAGTCAGTGTTCACTCAGACACATCACCCTGATGACTCACTCATTGAGCCAGAGGCCATGCCACCTTTGTGGTGCTCCTGTGGTCGGCTTGCTCCAGCCAGCTATCTTGCTGGCTGCCTACTCCTGCCAGCTGCCTTGCTCGCCACCTGCCACTGTTCCTACTGGCTGGGCCCCCCCCTGCCACTGTTCCTACTGGCTGGCCACCGGTCACAGTGAGTCTGGCTCCAGGCCAAACCAGTGACTTCAACTCTTAGTGATTTCAACTCTGAGCCACCACCTAGGCTGACCAAAAGATTCCAGCTTCTATTGGAATAAGAAAAAGACTCCTCATAAAGTCAACTTTTAGATCTATCCTTAGAGCAGGGGGGAAAGGAGGTTGGTTGAATCAGTCTTACAGCTAACACCTGGCAGACATGAAGCTGGCCAGCCCAGCCCCAACTCATCCACTCAACTCTGGAAGAGGGAGGTTTATTCATCTGAGACCCTGTACAATGATGGTGTCTCTCCTGCAAGTACTGGTGTCATATTTACAGGTCCTACATTTAGGGGTCGCATGGTTTGTGGCCCCACAACAGCCAAATTAGTTACAAAACACCACGTTCCATTCTGACAATTCACCCTCAATCAGCCCTGGCTGAATTGAATTTATATAACCACACCCTGGATTCCTTCCCCATTCCGGCATGAGCTGTATTTACATATCAACAGTTGATTAGCTTGCAGGACTAAACAATTTGAGTGAGCATACCCACCCCCAGGGCTGCTCTCTCCTTTCAGCTGGCTGCGATGCAAGCAGTCATTCACCCCCTGCTTACACCTACATCAGGGTTACTCAATTTTGGAAGCCCCGGGGGCCACAGTGATACTCACAGCACATGCCCAGAACCACAATTTAAGTGTGGTTGCATATACATGCAAATATATATACAAATATAAGCAAATAGCTTCTTTCACACTGACGAGCATGAATACAAAGATTAAGGCTTAAGCTGCAGCACAGGACCCAAACATGGTCAGTGTGAGATAGTCAGCACCTCACAGGCTGTGCCCAGAAGGCTAAGCAGCCAGCACTTCCCAAATACCCCAGCGCTCCCTGGGAGCTAGGAACACCGACACCCTGTACCCTTCTCATCCACTCAGCCCCTCCCCTTGCATCTTTCAGTGCTCACCTCCTCCCCAGCAGAAGCTTCACCGTTTTGTGGAGCATGTTCCCAGTGGAGGCCATGTTCAAAAGAACCCACAGGTGGGCCCCGTGTTGAGCCTCACGTAAAGCCAAGTAGCATCGTGGGCCACAAGCAACCCAATGGCCATGTGTTGAGTAGCCCCGGCTTAGCTATGGAACTTGTCCCTGGCTGTTGCTGATGGTACCTGGCAGAATGGTTACAAAAGTCACATCTAAGGGAGCACCTGGATTTGAACTAGGAACCTCTTAATCTGCAGTTAAATGCTCTACCACTGAGCTACACTCCCTCACATCATGCTAATGTGTAATTTTGAGGTTTATAAAGGGCACACCCTTCCCCAAAGCTCAGGTGGAAATGCATATAAATACTACAGCTTGCACAAACCCTACAGCTGTTCACTCTCACCACAACATGCAACAGCTTTTCTGGGAACACACACTGCTCCCCTTTTCTCCAGCATTCCTCCGAACCTCAAAGGTACAGGCTTCCAGCAAGTCCAGTCCCAATGCTGCTCCCCCTTTTTAATATTTTGTAAGCTTCTAGGGAGCATGGATCAGCACTCATGTCACTTTGTCACTTTGTGGACTGTAGCCCATCATGCTGCTGGCCTTACTGTCCCATGGCACATTGCTGTAGATAAAATAATAGAGATATACCTGTCTCCTAGAACTTGGAAGGGACCTTGAAGGGTCATCGAGTCCAGTCCCTTACCTTCACAGCAGGACCAAGTACCATCCCTATAAAACCCAGCCTTCTATCTTTACGTTCTTGCAATTGTCATTGTCCCGGCTGCAGGGCTGGGGGACAGGAGCAGAGCAGGGCAGAGAAGCAGCAGGTGTCAGGCCTGTCCCTACACTCACAGGTGGCAGCACACAGCAGAAGGGAGGAGACCTGAGGAAAATGGTGGTATAGCCCCCACTCCCACCCCTTATATCCACTAGAGGAGCAGACAAAATAGGATCAAACAGCAGCATGGTTTGGTGGTGCCAGGAAAATGGGATGTGCCTGGAATAGGATTGCTTCTCCTAAAACCATACAGGAAAGAGACAGAATCAGCAGGCAGGTGAAGGAGACGCCAGAGGCACCCCCTCTCCGGTACTGTCCCAAACTCAAGCCTCCCACCTGCCCAAGCCCCCTTATGGGGAGGACAGAGGGTTAGGCTGAAGTGCTCCTCCCCGAATTCCTATGTGACTATGGCTGACTGTTGCCCTTTTTGAGGGTGGAATGGGAAAGTGCACAGTTTTCTGCATTCCTCACTCTGGCTGGGGAGCGCAGAGGGAGAGGAATTTAGACCTGCCTCAGCCAGGGGACATGTACCACTCCCATGGTTGTGCCCACTGGAGGTGCAGGAGCCATGGAGAGGCACTTCCCACCTGGCCCAAACTACTTACATCACAAACCTTGATAGCACCAAAGACGTCTTCAACCATGGGTTCAGCAAGTGCAGAATGACTGCAGAAAGTGCCTTCAGCAGATTGAAGAGTGACTGGTGCTGCTTTTTTTGGGCAGTTAGACATCGAGGAGCAAAATACCCCCATAGTCATAGCAGCCTGCTCTGCTCTGCCCACGTTTGTAAAGTCATGGGGGGTGGGATTTCCGTAGGGGTAGCTCATTTGGCAATTGATTACAGCAGCCAGGTACCAGGACAATTAGAGGGGCTCAGCTGGTGAAGGGGACAGGCTATTTGAATCAGGGAGGTTTGAAGCAGCATTTTGATTTGACCCTTACTATTATGTCTTCCTACACTCTAGAGGCAGTTAATTGTACCCCAGTGTATTGATCCCTGGCCATTCATCCAGAAGATTGTGAGGATGCGTGCTGTGATTTGGACCTTTATTTTTCCCATTCTGTTGATAAAGGGGTTATAACAAAGTGAATGAAATTAAACCAGTTCCAGACCAGGAAAAGCAAGTTTTCCTTGCATTGGCTGGGAATCGAACCCAGGTCAACTGCTTGGAAGGCAGCTATGCTAACCACTATACCACCAATGCCCTTGCATTGGTTATGCATCATGGGCAAGCTGGATTGGCTGGAGGCAGCATGTTTACACAGGATTTCTCAGTGACTGGAAGATGAGACCGGCTGCAGACTGGTGTGGAGGCACAACAGGCATAATATAGGAGGCAGGTAGTGTGCAGGAGGAGAGTGAAGGTGAGCATGTGGGGTTTGATTGGGAGGTGGTGTGTAGAATTGGGCTGGGGTTGGAGGTCTGGGCAGGATGAGCCAGTGCATTCCTGTCCCTACCTAGCACACTGTCCAGGGGTTGAGTTCAGATGGCTCCCTGCTGCCCTCACCTTTCAGGAGCTACTCCCATTGACTGTGATTTTCAGCCAGTGGAAGCAATGGGGGTGGTACCTGCAAACAAGTACAGGGCAGAGCTTCCCAGTGCTCCGCATCCCAGAGCGTATCCCCCACATGCTGCCAGCAAAGGTGGAGTTTTGGGAGGGGGCAGCAGCTGTGTGTACCAGGACATGGCTTCCTTTTCTTCCCAGTTCCTGGACTATCAAGGAGCAAGGGGAAAGTACTTGCATTGCCTGTGTGAGCAGGGTCTGAATCAATGCTTCCATTACAGCCAAATAGAATGGGCAAGGAATCCTGGGTGTCATGCTCATTCAGTTTGCTTGCACCTGCTAGATATTCAACAGTTGTTATGTAAATATGGCTCATGATGGAATGGGAAAGTGATCCTGGGTATGATTATGTAACCTTTCTGCTGGGAAGGCCCAGCAGCAACCAGGGCCGGGTTCAATATCTAGGGGTCCATCTCACACAGAACCGTCTCGAGCCCTCACCAAGTAGCCTGGGAAATTCACACACCTATGGGCGCCTCTGAGAGGCAATGCTTCCCCGCGCGCAAGCACAGAATCTGAGTGTAGAAAAGAAACATTTAATGAAACAGAGAGAGAAGTCACAAGGCTTTAACTTGGGAAAATACCACAAACAGAGTTCATAGCCCAAACCATGAGCAACATCCAACACCGCAAGGCTACGTCTACACTGGCAGCTTCTTGCACAAGAACTCTTTTGAGGAAGAGTTCTTGTGCAAACCTCTTCCTCCAAAGAGAGAGTCTACACTGGCATGTGCTTTTGCGCAAGAGCATCCATGCCAGTGTAGATGCTCTCTTGTGCAAGAAAGCTCTGATGGCCATTTTAACCATAGGGGCTTCTTGAGCAAGAAATTCACGGTGCCTGTCTACATTGGCCTCTTCTGGAAGAGCTCTTGCGCAAGAGGGCTTATTCCTCATGGGGAGAGGAATAACTCTTCCAGAAGAAGCCCTGTTTTGCAACGCTGTACTGTAAATTTACTTCTGGAAGAACACCCGTGCAGTGTAGAGAGCCAGCACGTTTTTGCAGAAGAACGGCTGTTCTTGTGCAAGAAGCTGCCAGTGTAGACATAGCCCAAAAGTGTCTGGAGTCCAGCAGCCCAGCACTCCCTTGGGGCTCAGAACACGGACACTCTGTACCCCTCTCATCCACTAAGCCCATCCCCTTGCATCTTTCAGTGCTCGCCTCCCCCCCCAGAAGAAGCTTCACCGTTGTGGAGCATGTTCCCAGTGGAGGCCATATTCAAAAGATCCCACAGGTGGGCCCCGTGTTGAGCCTCACATAAAACCAAGTAGCATTGTGGGCCACAAGCAACCCAATGGCCAGGTGTTGAGTAGCCCTGGAACTTGTCCCTGGCTGCTACTGCTGGTACCTGGCAGAATGGTTACAAAAGTCACAACTAAGGGAGCACCTGGATTTGAACCAGGGACCTCTTGATCTGCAGTCAAATGCTCTACCACTGAGCTATACTCCCTTATACTGCATTAGCCTCTAATTTTGAGATTTATAAAGGGCACACCCTTCCCCAAAGCTCATGTGGCAATGCATATAAGTACTACAGCTTGCACAATCCCCACACCTGTTCACACTCACCACAACATACAACAGCTTTTCTGGGAACACACACTGCTCCCCTGCTCTCCAGCATTCCTCCAAACCTCAAAGGTACAGGGTCCCTGAACTCCTTAATTTCCACAGTATTCATCCCTTAATTCCCTAATAAATTGCATTCTGACCAGAAACACAGAGAACACCTTGGCCTGTACGCCCAGCCCTGCAGAGGAATGGGGCACCAGCAAGTCCAGTCCCAATGCTGCTCCCTCTTTTTAATATTTTGTATGCTTGTGGGAAACATGGATCAGCACTCATGTCACTTTGTGGACTGTAGCCCATCATGCTGCTGGCCTTACTATCCCATGGCGCATTGCGGTAAATAAAATAATAGAGATATACCTGTCTCCTAGAACTGGAAGGGACCTTGAAAGGTCATCGAGTCCAGTCTCCTGCATTCACAGCAGGACCAAGTACCATCCCTATAAAACCCAGCCTTCCATCTTTGCTTTGTGGCATTTTTCATTGTCCCGGCTGCAGGGCCAGGGGGGCAGGAGCAGAGCAGAGCAGGGCAGAGAAGCAGCAGGTGTCAGGCCTCTCCCTGCAATCACAGGTGGCAGCACACAGCAGAAGGGAGGAGACTTGAGGAAAATGGTGGTATAGCCCCCACTCCCACCCCTTATATCCACTAGAGGAGCAGAGAAAATAGGATCAAACGGCAGCATGGTTTCACCAGCAAGTAAATTGGGATGTGCTTGGAATGGGATTGCTTCTCATAAAACCATACAGGAAAGAGACAGCATCAGCTCACAGGCTCTGCCCACAAGCCTAAGCAACAGCCAGCACTTCCCACAGTGCCCCAGCGCTCCCTGCTGCTAGCAATACTGACACCCTTTACCCATCTGATCCAGCCAGCCCGTCCACTTGCATCTGTCAAATGCTCACCCTCACACACAGGACATGTCTCGCCATTGTGGAGCATGTTCCCAGTGGAGGCCATGTTCAAAGGATCCCACCTGTGGGCCACGTGTTAAGCATCACGTGATACCAAACCGCACCGTGGGCAGCAAACAAACAGGCCACAGGTTTCATGCTGAGTAGGCCTGGCCTAAATATTGAACTTAGCCCTAACTACTGATAGAGCCACCTAGCAGAATGGTTACAAAGTTACACCTAAGGGAGCACCTGCATTTGAACCAGGGACATCTTGATCTACTATCAAAAGCCCTAGGACCACACAATGCTCCCTGGAACTGCACTACAAGATAATGTTGAGGTTCATAAAGGGCACATCCTTCCCCAAAGAGGTGCTCATGTGGAATAGCATATAAATACAACAGCTCGCGCAATCCCCACACCTGTTCACTCTCACCACAAACACACAACAGCTTTTCTGAGAACACAGAAAAG